CATGTTCTACCTATAATCAGTTCGAGGACGTCATGACCATCTCCTTTCCATTTCTTTCATACTCTTGCTTGCTAGATCTCTTGTTATCATCTCTAATTGTAGGTTAATTTGTCCCGTTCTGATGATTTCATTCTTTGGACATTTAAGGGACATGCTCCATTGTAGGTAACATTGTGCCTAGTTTTGTTGTCTTTGTGTGCTCGTGTTATGCCTACCACTATTTTGGCACGCTCCCACACACTTTGCACAAAACGCATGCATGCCCGTGAATAATGGAGAATGACCCTTAACCAGTGCAACAACTAACCACGTGTTACCTCACCATCGTTCATGTCGTGTGTGTGCCTATCATTGTTTAGGCGTGCATCCACAGAACTACGCAAAAGGCACCCGCGTGCTCGAAAAATAATGGAGAATGCCCTTGAAGTGCCCAACAACTACGCCATAATGTCACCTCACCACCGCCTTTGGCACTACGACATCACCCGTGTCGGCGCCACACGCCGCTTTCGCATTAAATGTGGTTCTTGTTGCTACTGCTGGATACAACTCCATCCTTCTAGCTATAAAATTTGGTACCTCAGAGGTCTTCCATATCTCAAGAGGTAACACATCCTAGCTCAACTTCCTTCCCATCGAGTATCATCCCTCTCTCCCCATTTCTCTGCTCTCCTATAGGAATCGAGCTATGCCACAGGCCGCCCCTTCCTCTTCGCCGTGTCCTTATCAAGGTGAGAAAAAATCCATGACCATCTTTATGAAATCTTACCTCTCCTATATATTACAAAAATGACTTACCCTCCTTTTCCTTGCAGGATGGTAGATGAAGAGTGGACCACTAGCTCTTTGCTTGAACAAAGATGGTTTTCCCAAACTCCTATATGCCACCATGTCCGTGGATAGGTCTTTTGGATCACCCAGTATGTAGGTAGAGAATATGAGGAGTATGGCACAGAGCGGTGCGAGGTCATCATCTATGTTAGAGGAAGTAAAGATTTCCCCAACATAGGGCCGTGGGTGGTTTCTACTATAGGGTTTTGGTTCGAGGACACTTACCAATCTGTCAGCTCAGAAAGCTTTAAGGTACCTATGCGATTATATGAGAGGCCAATATGTCGTACACCCATGAGATTCTTCCCCCTTTAACAAGAGAGACCTGTGTGGGTAGCTAATGAGGACCCTCGAAGGCCCTGAATTACGTGAAAGTGACCCAACTACGGTGTTCATGTCTACCTACCTACTTTGCCTAGATAAGCAATATGATAGGCATGCCACCCATTTGAAGAAGTGCATTCTAAGGGTAGAGGAGGCCGAGAACCAAATAAGAAACACCTGCAAGTGCAACTTATGGAGGAGGCTAAGGCGTGGCGCGGCTAGAGCGGAGAGCCATGAGGCTACAACAATTGAAGCCTTCAAACAGGGCGAAGACCGCCACACTCAAAGAATTGAAGAATATCTACCTTGTCACTAGGGCCAAGAGAAGGACCCTTGTTCGGAAGGAGAGAATGCCTAATACTAGATGGAATCCCGTTGCAACCATGGAAGAAATCCAAGGGAAGATTGTGGACACGCCGCCTTGCGCCTCCACCAACAACCGGCCTCCCATGGAATTTCGAGAGACAGGGGTCAATCAATGGAGAAGAGATTCTTCCGCTGACTCAGGCACCACCAAGAGATGGCATATGCCCTCCTTCCATCCTCCCAGAAGATTTCTCAAGCTACGAATAATGATCTAAGTGGAGACATGGGCCCCTCAAGAACCCTCGTTGTAGTGTTTATTATTTCCACCTATAATGTAATCCCACATGGTGTTGTGCTTTGAGTTTAGTGATGTTGGTTGTTTGAATTCCACTTGAGCAAACATTTCTCTATGCCAATATGTCATTTCTCTACACCAATATGCCAGTGATTTTATTTAGTGACCTAGAATAGATATTGTGTAATGGATGCCAAACTCTATCGCCCTTACATAACATCATACTGGAAAATACATATTAGCTTCTATTGAGATATTTTTAGTACAACATACATATGATCCCTAAGATTTGATATATACCAAGAAGATCATCTTCCACAACATGGTAGTGGAAAAAATTAATTAGCTATAGCTTCCGTGGAGATATTTTCGAGTAACACGTATACATCATCCCCAAAGTTTGATATATCAAGCATATCACCCGCATCGAAGCGCGGACATAGTGGCTAGTAATTATTGATATTGAAGCTGCGAGAGGTTTGCTGCAACTGTGGCCATTCGAGAAGCTGTTGGCCAGCCTGCTGCTCGCTGTTCATCGAGCGCAGGTGCACCTGGCGCGTGTGCGGGAAATTTACTGTCACAGACTCACAGTCAGTCGTGCAGGCTCCAGGTAAAGTTGCAGTTCCATGGCATAAGGATGAACGTGCTGGTATCATGCGAAAGAATGCTTCCAAGAAATCCCGAACCTACAGTGGCTTCAGTACATGCTTGCTTGCTCTTGCTCTTCATCGTTCGAAACGGGCACTGTGCTTAACCGGTACGGAGTACGTACTCCGTAATAAAGCTTATGTTCTGCAAGAGGGCTTCTAGTAGCCTGCTGTAAAGCCGGTAACTTTGTACAATCCGCGGGGGATGGTAAGGCTGCGGTGCGTACCACACAGGCACAGGCACAGCTATAAATGGGCATGCAGTCCGAGCCCGTCAGCCCGGCACAACGCTTGTTTTTTTTTTGCCCGGCCCAAGCACGGCTCGGTGCCCAACGGGCTCGGGTTGGCACGACCGGAGGAGCAGGCTGTGCTTGGGCCTCACCCAGGCACGTGGGCCCGCTCCTCAACGGTAGGCCCGGTGTCCCCAACGGCTCCCCGTCTCCCCCCACAGGGCTCATTTGGCCCAGCCTGGCGGGGCTCCCCGCAAAACCCCCCTTCATATATAAGACGGGCTGGTACGACACGAAAAAAGGCCCTATAGTACCGTGCCTAAAAGGCACGGCCCGCATGGCACGGCGTGCCTTGTCGCCTCGACCCCCATCGGGCCAGCCGGCCCGTTGCCGGGCCGTTGCCCATCCATAGGCACAGCACCGAATCGGATCTCACCTCACCGTGCTCCAGCGTCGGTCTCTTCTTCGAGTTTTTTTTACCGCAGAGCGCGTTGAGGCACCATGCACATGCCCAGTTCCCTGTTGCAGCGGACAGCGGTAGAAGAAGCTAGGGACATGAGACATGACATAGGGGTGGATGGGTGGAGGAGGTCATTAAAAATTTTCTACCCCACTTGGGTTTATGGGTTTCACATGGCGCTGTTGCTTGCCTTGGCGTCGCGCGCAGGCAGAGCAAGCGCTGCTGCGAAGCCCCGGCAGTAAATGAAAACCGCGGGTTGGTTGATCGATCCGATCGGCAGACCAGACGGCAGACGCGACGGTGTAACTGGGGGGGCCCTGCCTCGTGCATTTTCGGCTAATTCCTGGCTGGAACACGTACGTACCCTCTCGGCTTTCTTCTTGCTGGAACAGGACAGTGTGGCACTAACGGAGGACACGCCGGAAGCTTTTCTACTTTTTCAGCTGGGAGTTAGGGAACAAACACATAAAAGCTCCGTTTTTACTGTGTACCTACCTGTCAACCTCGCTCTCCGAATTAAGTCGCGGGTACGAATAGTAGCTAGGACTGTTTTTGGTGAGAGTGAGCGAGAGAAAGCTTTGGCGTCTTTTTGGAGTCTTGTATGTATGTACTGTGCAGTCCAGTGCGTCGTGATGCGACTTGCGAGATATCGCTTTCGTTCGTTCGTTCGTTCTGAGCAAAGCGGTGATGAAGCAAAGTAGGTTCGTTACGCTTGCATTTTCTAAGTAGATATAGACTGATACTACTATATATACTACGGATGAGTAATGCGTATCATCAATGCACTGCATTTTGGCACTGGTAGGCATCTAGCTATTACGGAGGTGCAGGACGATTTAGTTGTCTCCATCACCATCTCAGTTTAAAATTCGGTACCCAACCATCCTTGCTCAGACGACCCTGCGTTAATGCCCATTAACTACACCCATAATGATCCGCATACGGAAAGCCATCCATCGCGCCGATTTTCATCCGATATCATCGTCCTCCGTTCTTCTTTTTCTTGTAATGTAACGCATCATTTCCTTAGATGGCCTTGTATCTACTACGTACTATACTACTATATATAGGAGTATGACAGAAATCTAAGGCGATAAATGCAAACTCTGATTTTCTTTAATCTACTAATACATGTGCATATAACTGTAATCTTATATTTTTCTATGGTGTCTCCATCACGATCTCACAGTCTCACGTTGATACCCAACCAAGGGAGGAATCATACGACCCTTTGTCTATAATCCAAAAATCCTGGACACCCATGACATGTGCTAATCCGCATACGGAAAGGGGATTCCTTCTTCGCGAATTCTTTAATGGCCGAGCGACTCTTTTTGGCGCCGCCGCCAAATGGCACCTTGCCGCCTTCCAGTATCTCTCCTGAGTACGGAGTACGCGGCAGTGCCACTGCACCGCCGCACATGATCCGAGGCAAACCTACCCCATCATCAGCCATGTCACGCACGGCCGCCGTGCCTGCCTACGCACCAAAGCCAATCGCCGCATTTAGCTTTTTTTTTTAAGCACAGAAACGCATTTAGCTGCCACCCACCGTGCATCCGATCAGCGAGACCGCGACGCCTGCCTAGCCTGGGCTCCCGTCCGGCCGTCCGTCGCTGTGGTCCTCGCGGGCGGGCACGGAGGCGGAGCGAGCGCAAAGCAAAGCATGCAATTGCTCCGCCTGTCCGTCCCCCGCCCGCTGCTAACCCAACTGTGAACTGGCCCCCCGTCCGTCTTTAACTCGCGCCGGCCTCTCTTCTCTCTCTCCGTCTATAAGAGGGACACCGCCACTTGGCCGCTCCATCGCGTCCATTCCATCATCAATCAATTCGACCTCACTCTCGTCTCATCAGTGCGAGTGAGCGAGCGAGCGAGCGTCCGAGCGAAGCCCTTTCCTTCCACGCGCGATGGACGCTCTGCTCGTGACCTTCCTCGTCGTCCCCGTGGCGGTGGCGCTCCTCGGGGCCGGGTCCGCGTCCGCCGCGCCGCCGCGCGCCTTCTTCGTGTTCGGGGACTCCCTCGTCGACAACGGCAACAACAACTACCTGATGACCACGGCGCGCGCCGACGCGCCGCCCTACGGGATCGACTTCCCCACGCACATGCCCACGGGGAGGTTCTCCAACGGGCTCAACATCCCGGACATCATCAGCGAGCACCTCGGCTCCCAGCCCGCGCTGCCGTACCTCAGCCCCGACCTCAGCGGCGACCAGCTGCTCGTCGGCGCCAACTTCGCCTCCGCCGGCGTCGGCATCCTCAACGACACCGGCATACAATTCGTAAGAACGCAAACTCGATCGAGAGCCGGCCGTCCCCTGCTGCCAATTGTCAGTCGTCGTCGTTGCGGCTGCATTCTCGCCACCGGCCGGTCTTTTCTAGCTAACCGCGCGCGGATGTCTTTGGTGGATCGACAGGTGAACATCATCAGGATCGGGCAGCAGCTGCAGAACTTCCAGGACTACCAGCAGAGTCTGGCCGAGTTCGTCGGCGAGGACGCGGCGAGGCAGGTCGTCAACAATGCGCTCGTGCTCATCACGCTCGGCGGGAACGACTTCGTCAACAACTACTACCTGGTGCCCTTCTCCGTCCGGTCTCGCCAGTTTGCCATCCAAGACTACGTCCCCTACCTCATCTCCGAGTACAGGAAAATCCTCACGGTAAAATTCCATCAACTCTACTCTTCAAATTCCTGCTGCCCATGCATGCATCAAACATAAATTAGTCTCAAAGCTAAACTATTCAAAGGTACATAATTCCCAGAAAAATTTAGAGATAATTTAGCAGAACTGGAACAAATAGACATATCACCCAAGCTTTCCAGTACAAAATTGAGTGAAAGGATTAATGCTGGAACCGTAGGAAAGGGAAAAGAAATATATATTAAAAAAAAGCTGTGTACTGACTCAAACAGAAGCAAGAAGATATGGGCCGGTAACTAGCTGACTGTTGGCGTTTGATTCCGTGAAGCCGGGAACGGGACACAAAACAGTAGCAGGTGAATGCTTCTTGTTAGTGTGTAATTTTGGGCAGTATTTTGTGTGTGCTCCGAGTAACTGGCATGGCCATCATGGCCTATAGTTCACCACTAGTTGCTCCATACCAAAGTGTAGTACGAGACAGTTTCTGCACAGAGTATCAGTAGTTTCAGGCATCAGCAGATGAGAAGTGACAAAGCCCTTGATGACCAGTTTGAGTGGCAGTCTGATATGTTCCCTAGGAAGCAAGGCTCCAAACCCGCAGTTGCAGCCCCCAGTGTCGGTATGGGACTCACTCTCATTCGAGTGCTGTTCAGCAGGACAATTAAACAACTATACTGTACCTATGTATATGTTTGTCTATACGAAGCTTATACAGGAGTAAGTAGCTAAAATGGCATTGCACTCTTCTTGTAGTACAAGCTTATGGCATGCGCTCTTCGTAGAGGAATGCAAAACAAACGTTGGCCTACTCCCTTAGGTCCGGTTCGACTTACCTTAAAAGCCGGTTTGTTCGGCTTCTTTTTTCAACCGAACAATGTTTTTCTTTCACAACAATTTAGCTTTGGCTTATTTTTCAGTCAATTTCAGCCAAGCGCACAGGCCTTAACCAGCAACGAAAAATGCCCCACAAATTAATTCCAGCCCACACCACAATGGTGCACTGAAACTGAAAGGAAAAGGAGCAGACCTAGGCCTCGTTTAGATTGCAAGTTTTTATGGCGATTCATCCATTCATGGGTCCAATGACAATACGCCATGAACGTTTCTTTTATCGACCTAGGCGTCGTTTAGATTGCAAGTTTTTTCACTCTCTCTTCGTCACATCAAATTTTGACACATGCATGGAATATTAAATGTAGATAAAAAAATAACTAATTACACAATTTGATTGTAAATTACGAGATGAATCTTTTGAACCTAGTTAGGCTATGATTAGACAATAATTATTAAATACAAACGAAAGTGCTACAGTGCCGAATACTGATTCATAACCTCTGTCTAAACGAGGCCCTGTTGGCAGGCGTCTCGCGTGTGATGTGTCGCCCTGGTTCTGCACCTCTGGTGAATGCGTGTGCTGTCACAGTGTCACCTGCTCCCACTCTGCACTCTGGTGGTCAGTAGTAGCCACGCCATGTACCGAGCCCGCGCTAAACAACAACACCGACCTGATCCCCGCAGTAAAAATTCAGCTGGCTAAAGGCTGTCAATACGTGAAACAACACACGTACAGGCTGACAGGCATGCATCAAAGGGCCGCGTATCAGACTGTTATAACGTGACAGTTTCACTGGTGTACGGTGTACCCGTAGGCTAGGTGGTTGGGTGTTATTTAACTCTCGCCAGTCGCCAGCCAGGCAGCCAATTCGCCACATGCAAGAACAGTCGTCCCTCGTCGTGCACGCAGCATATGTGTTTTCGTCATGGGCTCGTGGAATGGTGGGTGGTCGTAGTTTTATTAAGCCTACTAGGGACCAGTACGTGCTTGCGAGTAGTTGTGACGACGTGTCCTGACAACACGGAACTGATGCTGTGTGCTGTGGACGCGCGCATCATGCAGCGGCTGTATGAGCTCGGGGCGCGGCTCGTGGTGGTGACGGGCACGGGGATGATCGGGTGCGTGCCGGCGGAGCTGGCCATGCACAGCATCGACGGCGAGTGCGCGCGCGACCTCACGGAGGCGGCCGACCTCTTCAACCCGCAGCTGGTGCAGATGCTCTCCGAGCTCAACGCCGACATCGGCGGCGACGTCTTCATCGCCGCCAACACCAACCGGGTCAGCTTCGACTTCATGTTCAACCCGCAGGACTACGGTACGTGGCTACGTGCTAGCTGTTTCTTTCTTCTGTGTTTGTTGTTTATAATTCAGATCAGATCAGATCAGAGAGCGTAGCAGGCATAATAAAACCCTGCTGCTGCTGCTGCTGCTGATCGAGTATAATAAAACCCTGCTGATGATGCTGTGAATATTGCAGGGTTCGTGACGTCCAAGGTGGCGTGCTGCGGGCAGGGCCCGTACAACGGGATCGGGCTGTGCACGCCGGCGTCCAACGTGTGCCCCAACCGGGACGTGTACGCGTACTGGGACGCGTTCCACCCCACGGAGCGCGCCAACCGGATCATCGTCGGCCAGTTCATGCACGGCTCCACCGACCACATCAGCCCCATGAACATCAGCACCATCCTCGCCATGGACAACAGGGGCTAGGCCTAGGCCGGCCTGCGTGTTGCCTCGCTCCATCCCATCGATCTCCCCTTCTCCCTAGCTGACATCGATCCGTCCGGGCACTGGCAGCTACTACGACACACATAGCTACTGCGTGATACTACTAGTATAAGTTCGTCATTGGTTGGTTCACACCAAGGGATTTGCTGTATGTTCATGACGCTGGTGGATAAGAGGCTTTGGTATTCTTTTTGTGGTTTAGGATATGAGGTGAATTAATGGTGAATTAAGCCTTAGAGTGGGTTCGATATAATTGTCTTAATAAGTTTCTTCATTTGTTCAAGCAGATTGTTTGGCAGGGCTAGCTAGGAACTTCTGAAATTAGTAAGTGGTAGTACTATCTAGTCCGTCCGATTCATTCAAGAAATTTATTGCACTTTGTAGTGAGATCCTGAACTTTGGTACAAGGTACCGAGAATTCATTGCCAATGTATATTTTGGTGGCTGGTTTGTTGACCACAATTATACATGTGTACCATACCATGGCAGCGAAGTAGGTAGGGGCTATGAAGATGACCATCGCTGAACAATACGGATCTCACCGCGTCCTAATGGGCACCGAGTAGAACAGATCTCACCCGTCGTAATGGGGACCAAGTAAACGGAGAACCGGAGGGCAGAGGAGAGGACTGCAGCAATCCAGAGTAAATGAGCAATGCGGTGAAAAGCTGGAAAGGATTCACTTCTGAGCAAATGAGCAATGCAGTGTAAAGCTGAGCCCTTGTTTGGTTCTAAATAAGTCACCTACTTATAAGTTAAAAAGTGAAAAAAGTGGCTTATTTTGTCAAACACCACCAACTTATAAGTCACCCCTACTTATAAGTTTTAAGTTGGTTCACCCCTGCTTAAAACTTATAAGTCACCTTTTTTCGCGTGGGGCTCACATCTTTAATGAGCTTATAAGTCATCTACAACCAAACAGGCATGAAAAAGTCATTGGGTTTCGATCATCCGACTTAATAAGTCACCCGACTTATGGAAACCAAACAGGCTCGATTGGACCCCAAATTCCAAAAAGTTGTTATGATCACTCATCACATTGAATGTTTTGCACATTAAATGTAGACGAAAAAAAAACTAATTGCACAGTTTGGTGGGAAATTACGAGACGAACGTTTTAAGCCTAATTAGTCCATGATTGAACACTATTTGCCAAATAAACGTGCTACAGTAGCCCCAAAATTCAACTTTGGGGAACTAATCGCGCGCTGAGATTGCCACATTCTCGGCATTGCATAATTAAGAACCTTGAATGCTCCAGTGCTGCAGAGCAGCATGCCAGTATAATCTGCACAGGCATGCCGCATGCGTCCGCGTTTCGGTCCATCTGATTGTGGTCAAAACGCTGATGCACTACAGAAGCACAGGCTCAAACAGCAGACAATGACATTCAGCCATTCAGGCCCCTCTGGAATCAACATTTGTTCACAACTTCATCTGGGATCGGCAAAACATGACATTTGGATACATAGAGGGCATACAATCAGCTAAAATGATGCAGAGGAATCATACAATACAACTCGAGTTTCCTTTCTATATTTCTACTCATCGAGTTGCTACTAGGTTTCCCATAAGCCCTCCACCAAGCTCATAGTGCTTCGCTGCACAGAACCCAGCTTCTTTGGCTAATTTCTCCAATTCTTCTCCTAAAAAGAAAAGAGAGAAAAATACAAGCTAGATGTAATTTCGTGGTGGGGTATAGGGTCACTAACCAAATGGTACAAACCACTTCCATTGACCAGAACAGCGAAGTGCAAATTTTGTGAGAAACAAATGCCGTGGTCCAGCATGAAAAAGGGAGACAAATGGTGTCATGTTGTATTTGTACCCCATCAGTCCAAGAGTGAGAATAGTGAGATGAGTATCTCTATGTGTAGTGTAGGTGTAGCTCTACCATCAGAATGACAGACAATACCATGCTCTTTCATGGATGTGTTCTTGGAGAAGGAAATAAACACACATACCTGTTAGATACTGCGATATGGAGCTTTTCAAGTACTTGTATTCTTCAGTCAGTCCATAGCCACTAGCTAAAGGAACCACAACATTGTCTATCGCCCAACTCTGTCCAAGAGAAAACGGAAACATCAATCTGGTCAGTGAGACATATGGTCTGACTTTGCTACAATGACATTAATAATGAAGAATTGGTCTTTGCCAGGGAAATTGAACACAAGTCAGACTCATGTGTACGCCAACTTCAAATAGTACTCTCAAGATTGGCTGACATTTTACCTGTAATGATGTCGTGAAAAGTGATGAACTCTTGTTAAAATCAAGGATAGAGGCTCTTGATCCTGTGGTCCAGTAAAAACCTAGCTCAGAAAATTTATCCAGATTGTTAACAAAGCAAAAGTTGAACCAAATTTTAACCTGTACCGAACCTGGTTTCAGGACCCTATATATTTCTCGCATCGCTTTCGATTTATCAACCACATTGCGCAATCCGTAGCCAACTGTTACAGCATCGAAGTAGCAGTCTGCGAATGGTAAATCAAGTGCATCACCCTCGATCCATCTGCAAGTGCCAGTGTCAGATGCAGGTAAACCACATAACGCCATAGCGCATATGCTAGCAAAGCACACAAACTATTCAACTGAAATCACAGGATGTTCTTGCTCTGCAAACCCTCACACTGAGGATGCTCACTTGATGTTCTTGTAACACAGCTTCCAGCGTTGCTGCTGACGGTCAGCAGCAGTCTGTAGTTGCTGCCTCGAAAAATCGACAGCCATCACCTGTTTCAGTTGGGTGCAAATGATGATAAGATTTCCAGTGGGGAAAAACAAAATCGCCTAGCTAAATCGCCTAGCTAATCTGAAGTCTGAATACTACAAGCGAATCCAACACCAACCTCTCCATCTAAGCCGACCTTCTGAGACAGCACGAACGCCAAATCCCCGCTCCCGCAACAGAGATCAAGAACTCGATCCCCCATCTTCGCTCTAACTCCATAGGAGCAAACTTTTGCATCAACCGATTGTAGAACAGGGCATTTTGATTCACATTGCTTATCAACTACAGTTAACACTAGCGCTATACCTCGACCAAGAGACGCATATGCGCTTCCACGTCCGGTGCTGTCCCAGGCTGAGCACGTCGTTCAGCTGCAAGGAACCCGGGAACGTGCTGTCGTCAGCAACACATCATGGAATTGCTATCTGCAGCACTAATTTCGTAGAAGCAACGAGGGTTTAGGAGGAGGGCGGGATGTACGAACAAGGTCGTAGACGGGGGCGATGCGGCTGAAGAGGGCCTGCCGCTCGCCCGCCGAGGAGGACGAGCAGCGAAAGGCGGCGGGGCCGCGGCCGCGCCGGCGGCCGGCGGGGCTGAACACGCCGCCGCCGGCTACGGAAATCCCCGCGGTCAAGGCCACCATCGTGTCCGTTCGCTTGCTCCCGACCCCGAATCGTGGTTAGGATATGTTGCTGTCGCTACGGCCAGACGTGGAAAACGGTTTGACTATTTTGCCCCCGCCGCGTGAGTTGCCAAACGATTTCTGACATTCTGGTTGGAGTACTCCTCTTGTTGCCGCCGCCGCCGCCGGTGATAGATTTGGGGATGGATTTAGGCTCGTGCTACCTCGGTGGGAACGCCGACGCGGTGGAGTTCTGCCCGCATCGCCCGTTCCGCCACGTGCTGGCCGCCGCCACCTACACGCTGCAGGAGCAGGAGTGCGACCGGGCGGGCACCATATCCCTCTTCTCCGTTGACGCTGCCTCGGAGGACGCGTCCCGGCGGCTCCAGCTGCTGCATACTGTGGAGACCGCTGGCATCTTCGATATGAAGTGGAGCCCCAAGTCGCCGCTGCTCGCGCAGGCCGACGCCCACGGCCGCCTCGCGCTCCGGCGCCTGGAGCAGGAGGACGGCTCGGACACAGGTTACTTATGTTTTGTCTCTGCATTAATTTTTTTTTACCCTACAAAAATGTTGTGTCGTTAAAGTTGGACAGATGCCGCGGTATGCACTTGCTAAGATGCCGTAAGCTCAAAGTTAAATGATGATTGATGCTTGCAGAAACATTTGCACCATTTTCCAATTCAGGAGCTATGCATTCGTTCATTTTAAGATGTTGGCATTTGGGTTACAGTTTGACTCGAGTAGTCACATCGAAGATTAATCTAGATGTGGACTAGGGGCTCATGTTGGGTTTCAACTCTAGCCTACCCCAACTTGCTTGGACTAAAAGGCTTTGTTGTTGTTGTTGTTGTTGTTGTTGTGGAATGAGTTGCTTAATGTTTCAACTGTGTGTTTGTAGTTCTGTAGTTGTCATTGCCTCATAGAAAAGAAAGGTAACTTCCAGTTGATTGGTGATAAAGCAATCTTGTGCTCTTGCATAGCTATGTTTATAAATAGTTTTTTCTGGATCAGAACTTGTCTTCATGTGTGCTTGAAAACTGGTATTATATTGGTCTCTGACAAGAAGTGGGTTCTAACTCATGCAGCTCTAGTCAAGAGTTTAAACACTTTATATTTGTCACATCTGTAGTCCAACATGTATCATTGCATATCTTCAGGGCTAACTCAAGTGCTTTCTGTCACTAAATTACACAGGCATTGTCTTCACCAATGTCTCTGCTGAAGATATTTCTTCTTCAATGTGCTTGTATGTGGACTGGAACCAAACTGCTGAGTCTCTGTCTGTTGGATTATCAGATGGCTCACTGTCTGTGGTTTCAGTGAGAGAGGACCGGCTGGAGATATCAGAACAGTGGACTGCACATCAGTTCGAAGTCTGGACATGTTATTTTGATCGTACAAGGCCACACTTGCTGTACAGTGGATCAGATGACTGTTGTTTCAGTTGCTGGGACTTGAGAGAAAGCCTGCCAAACATTGTTTTTCAAAACAAAAAGTCTCATAAGATGGGTGTCTGTTGTATTGCACAGAATCCATTGGAGAGGAACATGCTACTTACTGGGAGTTATGATGAATTTCTCAGAGTTTGGGACATGAGATTTATGGCAAAACCTGTCAATGAAAAGTTGATAAATCTAGGAGGTGGTGTGTGGAGGATGAAGTATCATCCTAATATTGCAGATGTTGTATTGACTGCGTGCATGCACAATGGGTTTGCCATTGTTAAAGTAGGTTCTGGAGATGCTAGGGTAATGGAAACATATTGCAAGCATGAGTCCTTAGCATACGGTGCAGATTGGCAGAAAAGTGAAGAGGTGGAGCAGAATGGAAATTCTTCGGTTGTTGCTACTTGTTCGTTTTATGATCGCCTTCTCCGTGTGTGGCAACCAGAGAATCTAGCTGAGCTTTAAAGCATAAAGCTTCATTGTCCTCAATTCAAGCATGACTACACCATGAAGCTATTTCCTGAATGAACCAGTATAATTTCATTCAGGTAGCTCTTTGAACTTATGCTTACTTGAAGTCATGCATGAGCTTATAGGGACTTTATGTTTGTCTTCAATTAGGCTTATTGATATTAGTATTTGTTACCAGCTTCCTCACTGCAAAACCTTGAATTCTTCCTTTTGATGCTAATCGATTAGAAAATTGTTTTGATTTTTTTTTGTGTTGGTCTAGATATCAGAGAAACATACTTGACCGGACTCTTTTCCAACTGGCTCAAAGATGTCTGTGTTCTTTATCCTGCTTATGACGTACAAAAGAAATGCTCATTGGATTACCACAAGTGTATTCATGGAGAATGGACACAGTTTGATGTTTGGCGACTGATATGACATCACAAATGCTCTCTCTGTAGGCTACCAGTTTTTCAAGCTTGTGATGTGAATTACACTTGGTAGCTTCGATTTTTTTGCCAAATTAACTGTGGACATGGTTATTTCCTCAGTTGGCAACTCTGTTTTTTTTTTGTGTGTTCAGAAACTAGCATTTGAAATGAAGGAAAACTAGCAATGGCCGTGGTTTGAAAAAAATGAATTTCTGTAGCAGCAAAAACGAACCAGTTCATGCACAAACATGAAAAATTACATATATAATAGGAGATTGCACGGCATCATATTTGCCTTCATGGTAGTCTTGGCTTCCCGATTCCGTTTTGTCACTCCTCCAGTTAATGGTTCTTGGTTAAGTTTGTTGATCTAGCTTGTCAGCAGTCCCCCCCCCCCCCCCACCCCAATGTAGCCTACTAACGGGCGGTTTTGTTACTTCTTACTGAACCTCAAAATGTGGAGAAAACAACTTCTTCAAATGGCGCACATGATGACAAGTCAGACTATGTAAGTGATGAGATGCTGGCTGATCTCATCTTGTGTGGACATCCTGATCCATCATGCCAACATGCTCGTGCTCCGGTCGCGCATTGATCCTAATACCCATGCACACTTCAGCTGCTTATTTAACACTTTCACATTGTACATTCACTCTACAGCACTGACAATCTCTGTGCCCCCACTGCTTTTGCTGAATGAAGAAGCTTGCTGTGCTCCATTGCTCATCATCGAATAAGTTTTGATGTCATGTAAATGTCACGATACATTTTGTTGAAATGGGCGCTGTAAATACTCTGCGCCTCAAGCAAGCAAGCAACAAACTCGGAAAAAAAATTCTCTGCATCACGTATGCAGAGAGGATCTGTGCAGCACGGTTTGGTTACCGTGCATGACTCCTCTCGCGAAGTCGTCGATCGGCTGATCTCGCTCACGGCCCATCCTTCCGCCCATCTCGATCGGCTAATCGCATCTCCATCAAGCAGCCACAGGCCACACGATCCACGGTGTGGACGGCATCCAAGCCGTGCTGCACCGAATCCTCTCTGCATCACCCCCGCGCCGCTCTTTTCTTCATCCCTTTTCTTCCTCCTCCCACCAGAGCGAAACAACCCGCACAAAACCCACCTAAACCCTTGCGTGTCTGCGCGGGGAATCCCCACACAAGCCCGTTCCCCCGCCGGCGGCGATGGCCGATGGGTAACTCCATGGCAAAGGCTTCAGCTTCACCACCCCCGTTCCTGCTCCTGGTAATCGATTCATGGACTTCTCTTCCCCATTCTGAGAGCGTGTTGCATACATCAATCCTGATAGACCTAAAACACATCACTAGCCATAGATCTAGCGTGTCTATTTATTTTTAAATAAACAGTGAGTCTTAGAACATCTACTGGGATAGAGTGACAGAGAGGGGTGAAGGGGTGCAAATCATCGGCCGCCTTGGAGGAAGACGGGCTCACCATCGCGGTGCTGGATGAAGACCCGGTGGCGGTGCTGTGTCAAAGGGCGGCGTTGGCCGGTGACGGTGCTTCCCATCGCTGGCAGCACCCTCTCTGTGATTGGTTAGGGTTTATGACTATAGGTGGGGTGCTAGGCGGCTCAGGCAAACCTCGTGCTTGGCGTCCCGGCCTCCACCTCCTATTTATGGCGCGGTGGTGACGAGCCCACCAACCATATTAGGGTTGGGCGCCCCGATCAGGGCGTGGATCCAGGGGCAATTGGCCGATTGGTGGAGATCAACTAACAAATCCATCGTGCATCGGCATCACTAAAGACGATGGAGCCTGATCAGGAAGCACGATTCGCACGCGGTAAGCATCAACACTGTAGAAAAAGTTCTTTTTTTTTCGTCTTCCGCGTCGATCATGGGTTTTCATTTCCTTGCTCGAATATCCGCCCTTTTCCATGCCGTGATCCTCGTTTCGCTGTGGGAGCGCGCAGGTGGCATCGGTTCTTCGTTGTCCGCCTTGGCCATGGAGGAGTTCGTGATGGGCGATCACGTGCGGCTCATGGCCTCCACGCGGCACGCCTTGGAGCTAACTGTGTCGTCCAGGCTCTTCGCCAAGCTCTACGGCCTCTTTGACTCTGACGCTGAGTTCCGCGACGCACTGGCGCGCGTCCGAGGCGGCCCCGACGCCGAGCGGCTCCGCATTGTTGCCTACGGGCTCGGCGGTGCGCAGTACAGCTGGGCGCCGCGGTTCCACCTTGCTGTTCTGCTCCTCCTTCGCGTTGCGTTCCCGGACGCGATCGGCGACGTGGAGGTGGTTTGCTCGACCGTTGCCCCCGTGGAGCGCCAAGCCATGGAGGAGTTGGGCTGTGTCGTTACCGCGTCGGTCCAGCAGTGACGGCAAGTTCGTGAGCCGACGCTCATCTTCATGCCGTACGCGGACCACGTCTTCTTCAAAAATCTTCTCACCTTGAGCTGGAGCGCGGATCAGCTCGGCAAGATCGTCTTGCTTGGGCACAGCTTTGGCACCATGGTTAAGATGCTTGAGCTCAGCATATCCAAGCAGGAGAAGTTTGGTGTCACAGAGCAGAGGGAGAAGGTGAGGAAGCTCCTGGCAATTAAGGAGTATGTGAATGAGTTTGAGCTGTGCTCGGAGCTTGATGGTTTCTGGGGAGATGATTGTCCTTATGATGAACTAGCAAATGAGTCTGGCAATTCACAGGAGGAGTGTGGATGCATGCACTGCGTTGCTAATGTAGAGAGATATGCCATGATTAGTGCTCTTCCCAGCTCCTTTTCAGTTCATCTGTTCCACATTGATCCTGAAATTGGCATGGACCATCTTGTACCAGGTTGTTCTTCCACATAATTATTCCTACTGCTTTCATAAAACATATATGTCTGTGGCTTTATGGAGTTGGGTCTGATGTTATATGTTTCTTTGTTGCAGATAATCATACTACGAGGGTTTGGAGGACAGTGAACATCGAGATGAACTATGATGCGCAATTAACAGCTCCTAGAATTTTGTTTTTTTGCTTGTGTCATTTCGTTCGTAGCTTTTGCTTGGTTCTGGTGTTTTGATCAACAGTGTCCTTGTGCGTCTGAGTCACGTGTGTCACGATTGAGCCGTGGGATGGCACATCTCATGGAGCCATGGTGCACAAATTTTTTGAAACAATTTGGTTCAATTGTGTCGGTCGTATGTATTTGCAAGATAGATTCATAAAAGTTGTGTTCTGTCAGCAAATTACACCGTGTTCAGTGTGTTTGTGTGCGCGTGAGCGGGTATCTTTATCATCTTCGACGAAGGTGGTGAAGATGTCAAATGGGCGTCAGAGCCAGTTACCGCAGCTGGTTGTAAAACCATGCCATCAAATACGCCTCCATGCCGCGCTTTAGCTCCACGTTGTCACCACGCACCTCAGCATGTGCACACCATAACAATTGGTCATCCATCATGTCGTGAAGGAGTTCGGGGACGTCATATCATACTTGATGCTCACCAAGACGAACTAAGGTGATTGGGCCGATTGGAGGTAGGGATGCCAGCCCGGAGCCCGTGGGGGTGCCATGGCAGGCTGTCTTGTGCCAGCTCGTAGCCCATGGTGGTGCCATGGCAGGCTGTCTTCTTGTTTTTACTTTTCTAGAAATAGGACTTGTCACCCTAGGCATGCAAACCCACTTAGGAGTAGAATCAACTTAGGGGTTTTAGAAATTGACAATTGCTCTAGTGTTGTGATCTTGTAGGAATTTTTTAATAGGGCAATTCACCTCCCTCTTGCCATCTTGGGAACTACAACCGTCCGTTAGAATATGCATATATCTCCTAATAAAGACGTCAGTAAGACCATGTACCTGTGGAAATGTTTTGTGAATTAGTTTTTCCTCCCTAATGTTTGATCACTTAAATCCACAATATGTGCAAGAATTTGGTACATTTTAGGTTTCTGGAGTGAATCTTTGTATGCTAGATGCTAAGCTGCTTGTGATCACCTGTCTTTGTTCAATTTGTGGCTTCACTAGATTTCGTTATGGATTTTTTTGCTCTTTCTGATTGCTGAACTTTGAGTGAGATTTGTTTCACCTATCATGATATTATTACTGCAGTGCAAGTTTTTTACTTAAGGTAATGATCTGAAAATAAAAAAAAAAACAGACATAACTGTATACGTATACGAGATATTTGATTTCTCTATTATGATTTATATGTAAAACATGAGGATATGAGGCATATAAATACTGGAGTTATGGCAGGAGACTTTGGAGTCCAAAGGTTTTAGACTCAGTAGAACTAAAACTGAGTATATGAGATGTGACTTCGGCGCTACTACTCGGGAGGAGGAAGATGTTAGTTTGGAAGGTTAAGTAGTGCCTAGGAAGGGTACCTTTCGATATTTAGGATCAATGCTATAGAGGGACGGGGATATTGATGAAGATGTTAGCCATAGAATCAAAGCAGGGTGAATGAAGTGGCGGCAAGCGTCTGGTGTCCTGTGTGACAAAAGGGTACCACAGAAGGTAAAAGGCAAGTTTTATAGGACAGCGATTAGACCTGCTATGTTGTATGGTGCAGAATGTTGGCCTACGAAAAGACGACATGTTCAACAGCTAAGTGTCACGGAAATGCGTATGTTGCGTTGGATTTGCGGTCATACAAGAAGGGATCGAGTTCGGAACGATGATATACGTGATAGATTAGGGGTAGCGCCAATTGAAGAAAAGCTTGTCCAACACCGGTTGAGATGGTTTGGATATGTGCAACGGGGACCTCCAGAGGCACCGGTACGTAGTGGAATCCTAAGCCAGGATAGTAACGTGAAGAGAGACAGAGGAAGACCGAAGTTGACTTGGGTAGAGGCAATAAAAGGAGACTTAAAAGGATGGAATATACCCAAAGAATTAGCCTTAGATAGGAGTGCTTGGAAGACAGCTATTCACGTGCCTAAACCTTGATTGCTTCTGATGTGTTTCAACTCAGCCTACCCCAACTTGTTTGGGACTTAAAAGCTCTGTTGTTGTTGTTGTATAGGGAGAGCATAGAACACTATTGTAATATTAAATGTGTCCTACCTGTCATTACAAGTTTACATTTGTTATTTATCGTTAAAACCTAATTGATTGTTTCCTATTATGTTTTTTTTCCATTAAACTAGATGGCATTTAAATCCTAGTGATGCATACATTGAGGACAAGGACCTCATGGATGCAGTGAGCATAATTAAAGAAGTACATGAAACTATGCTGGATATTAGGAGGAGTTCAGTTTATACAAAGTTCATTGATCAGCTTAAGGATAATCCGAGCATTGGAGATTGCATTTCAAGAAATTTCAAGAATGTTGGGAAGTTATGAATACATGACGCTGGTAATTTATGGCCTTGGGAGCTTTGAATTTGATGTGAAGTCTCAATATCAGCTGGCTTTCTCTCTTCTTCTAAAGGAAGATAAGATATTTCCGGTTGGTGACATAGAATTATATGACCCAGCACTCTCTCCAGCTGATGTCAAATCTTGCTTCGACTTGGGAATAAGAGTTCTACTTGTTAACGAGCAGTGCCACAGAAGAGTTGAGAAGCCGACAATTTTCTATGTTCCAGGACTGAAGTTTGTGGGTAACCTAATCGAGGCAAACCTCTCTCCTAAGCACTTAAATAAGATGATTTTGGTTTCCTATGGGTTTAAGGATGGCGGGGAAAGTATTTCTGGTGAATTTGAAAACTGGAACTGTGGATGTACCAGATTCATGGGTTCTTTTTCTTTGGAGAGAGACAGGTTCCTGTTGGCAACTAAGGATTGCATTCATCAAGTCATTTCTCTGGAAAAATCTGACAGGGAATTAGTTGGTGTTTCTGAACTGAAGCTGGAATTTCTTAAAGTAGATGATGACACGGACACTTGGTTTCTTTTTAGTATATTTGTTTAATGGTGAATCTGACTTTACAGGGCTGACACTCAAGGAAAAAATTCACCTTGACTTCAAATTAGTGCTGGAATATAATTCATTCCTTGCTTTTGAGTAAGACTTTTTTTCTTTATGTTACTGCATCTGAATTAAAAATTGAGATTGAACAGCCGATTCTTTTTAGTGGAAACATCATTATTCATTTTCTTGATTTTTCAGTCATGTGTCTTCCCTTCGTATGCAATTGGAAGAGCGAATCTCATGCCCATTCAGAGATCAGTGTGCTTTCAGGGGTGATGTTACTCCATTCTGGGGGCATGTTTTTCGTCATCGTCTGCCAGCGATGAAACGGACGACATGGTCCCCGCCTCCTAAGGGTTGGGTCAAGCTCAGCTTCCATGGAATTGGCTGTTCCAAAGGCACTCCGGCCTGCATTGGTGGCATACTGCACAATGACAAAGGCGAGGTTCTCTCCTACTATGCTGGTCCAGTAGGAGATGTGGATGAGATTGTGGCCAGTGCTAGGGCACTTGATATGGGGCTACAAATTATGATTGATCTCCATGAACCAGTATTCAAGCTGATCATCCAGGGGGGTAATCTTATGGTGATACGCTGGTGCAACATAATCTCATGCCCACCTGAAAGAGCATATGACTTATTTTCACGTATCTCTTGGTGCATGAATTTGAGGCCATCCGAGGCACCTGCTCCTGATGAGCTACCTACAGAGTGCAACAAGGGTGAAGATGAGGGTGATGGCTCAAAGGATGCGGACTATGATAATGGTCCGAAGGATGATGACCAGGAGGGTGGTGGTGCATCTTCAGAGTCTGTCATCCCTCGTGGATGGACTCGTAGAGAGTACATAGCTTGGCAGGTCGAATAGGGGGCTAATCAGGTCACGATTCACCTAGCACGTGTTGGAGCTTCTCTACCTGGGATCCTTATACACCAATCAACCATGTGTGACTGTGGAAATGGAATGGACATGAAGAATGACGAACCAGATGATACATGGTAAGAACTAAGAACCTATTGATGTCGCCGGCTGTTCTGAAATGAGCTAGTAGAAGTGTGTGTTCTTTTGGCGATGCTAACGACCGCATTTATCGCAGGTTCCTTTGTGGCTTTGATACGGGTGCTGACATTATCACACGACTGACCTGAGGATTCTTCAACCTGTTAATGAGGAGCCTGCTGCTGACTGCTGTTTCCTGTTGCTAATGGTTGTCCCTGTTCTGAACAAGTGGGATCTGCCTGTTCTGAAGAAATCCTTGATCTGCATGATGAGCCTTCTGGGTCTTCGATTTCCTGCTGTTAACTGAAAACCTGTGAGTGATCCCTGAGAATATAAATGTGTCCTTTGGTTGTTCGTTTGACTTGTACTCTGTAGTTCAGAACCCAAAAAAATGTTGCCTCATAAGTACAAGAAACTGGTAGATATTAGGTTTCTGGTATCAAATGATCGGTGTACTAATTGCTAAACAGCTTTTGGTCATCTTTTTGTTCATTATATGTGACTTATCTAGATTTGGTTATTGACTTCTTTTGGTTTCCTCTTATTATTGAACTCTGAGTGAGATTTGCTTCACCAATCATGATATTGCTGCTGTGAAAGTTCTTATTTTCTCCTGGTGAAGTTAACCTGCAGTGCTAATAGTCTACAGGCTACTCATTTTTTTCCATTATGATTTGCATATAGCTGCTGAAATATTCTTTGGAACAATTTCGTTCCCCTGCTCATCGATGTTTGTTCACTGAAATCCAGTGCTAGATAAATCAAATCGTCTGTTATTCAGTGCTAATAGACTGCTATTTGATCACTGAAATTCATTAACTAATTTAGAAAATATACTACGTTCAATAATCTGTTACATTTTATTTTTCTGAAATGAAAGTGCTCTGTATGTGTTAAATGATGAGCTCCTTCTCATCATCAATGTGTGTTCACTTTGTGGCTTCTCTAGATTTGGATATGGAACTTTGTCTCTCTTTTACTACTATCATTGAACTCTGAGTGAGATTTGCTTCACCAATAACGACATTGCTGCAGTCTGCAGTGCAAGTTCTTATTTCTGAAATCTGAGCTAGAAGTGTCTGTTCTTCTGGGGATGCTAACGACCGGCATTTATTGCAGGTTCGTTCATGGCTTTGATATGGATGATGACCTTATGAAACGACTGAAAGTTTGAGCCAGAGGATTCTGCAACCTGTTCATGAGGAGCCTGTTGCTGACTGCTGACTGCTGCCTACTGCTAATGGTTGTTCCTATCCTGAACAAGTCGGGTCTGTCTGTTCTGGTGAAATCCTTGATGTGTGTAATAAGCCTTGGACGTCTTCGATTTCCTGCTTTAGAAAAACCAAAACCTGTGAATGCTCCCTGAGAATGTAAATTTGCCCTTTGGTTGTTCATTCGATACGTAGTTCAGTATTTTGCTTTGATACACGGTCATTCACGTACTTTAGGAGTATGTAACTAAACGTTTGTCAGTTGTCACCGTGACCCTGAGAGGCGCTTCAGGCGCATTTTAATTTATGAACACCGACATGAACATGTTTTGTAGCGTTAACTATGTAACTAAACGTTTGTCAGTTGTCACCGTGACCCTGAGAGGCGCTTCGGGCGCATTTTAATTTATGAACACCGACATGAACATGCTTTGTATCTTTTAACTCTGAGCTCATCTATTCGTCTGCTGGCTCTGACCAGGTTGTGTGCCCTTTCAGTTATGGGTATGCCACCATGAGACTCGCTCCATTTCTGTGTTTACTGAGCGATTGTGCTTATGATTTTTCTGACACTCATGGAGGCCAAAGAGTAGTGTAAGCAAGCCGGTGAAATGCCGTCGATCCTTCAGGTTCGCCGGGATCATAGACATGCCCAGCAGAGCTCCTCGAGCTGCTCCGCTCCTCTTTGTGGCGATCCAAAATAGGGCCTTGCGTGTAAAATACTGGATCACTATTTATATCCGCGATACGGATTAGCTGTGCATTTGTAAAATATTGGAGCTCGATAAATAAATTACTAAATTAGGGACTAAATAGTAAATTTCGGTTGAGGCGGGCGCCAGCCGCTAGCAGTAACGGCCACCACCACCGGGTTCCGGCCGCGGCGCTCCGGGGCTCGCGGCTCAAGGCAAGAGTTCGCCCGTGCACCAACCCAATCGTCCCCTAGGTGGACGTTCGCTCCGGGGTCGCGCGCATGCGCGGCATTTCTGGTGGGGGTGCGCTCGCGGGGCTGCGCATGGGGACAGCGAGCGGCGGACTCCGCGACGGCGGCCGACGCCGCGTGCTGGCATGGCTCGGAGCGCGCGAGGCCCACCACAGACAGTCAGACAGGCTCGATGGGATGCCTGACCCAGTGCGCTGGATGTAAGTTCTCCATTAAACCAATATTTGTTCATCCAGTTACGCGTGAATTACTCCAACTTCATGGTTGATTTTCAGTGCACAATTTTTACGGAATAATTACCAATTTATCGTTTCCTAGTTTCAAACTATGTTCTGCATCTGCAGCACACTATAGTATATTGCAGCGCTCCAATTTCCTGAATCATGTTAATCTAAGAGCTAGTATGGAAGCACCATCCCTTGTAAATCCTGTCCGTGTGGTTTTGGTGCGTACCTGTCATATTTAGGTGGTGTGTGTGGTAATTATCTTTTACCATATTGGATTCACTCTCTTGTCACCGTTCAATTGTTTGCTGTTCCACTCAAGCCATGGGATCGCCGTGAGCACTCCTTTATGAGTCCGGAGAATTCAGAGCTCTTGTTCTCCAGTAATTTTGAGGGTGTGCCATATTCTCAAAAGCCCCGTTCGTTGGTCTGAAACTTAGCTAAAACTGATTGACAACACTGTTCCGACTGAATTATTGCGAGAGAAAAACATTATTTCGGCTGAAAAAGAAGCCGAACAGCTGAATATGAGGTAAGCCAAATAGGGCTTAAGTCTTCCTGCTCAGCAATAGTTCATTAAAGCACACACATATTAGTAATCCAGCAGCCATGTCTAGTAACATGTAGAGAACTGGTGCTTCCATCGCGTGACTTACCTGCACTGAAAACAACAATGAGATCACTGTCAATTACGGTATGGATTCTGTGAGCTATTGTCAATACTGTGCAATTTCCGAATTCCTCGCAGGCCGTTTATTGGATAATTGCATCAGTGGAGGAGTCAACGGAAGCAGTTGCCTCATTCAGAACAAGAACATTGCTTCGCTTTAGAAGAACTCTATGGTAGAACCATCTAATCTAATGTCTCTTAAGAGTATTTGTCTTTCATTAGACACTAAGTATTCAAGAGGGGACACTAAACTACAGCAGTTTCGTCGGGCACACCCTAAGGAGAACTTAAAAATCCACATTTTTCCATCAGGATCATAAATGAGAGAATAAAGTTTACAACATTCTTAAACCATTTCTTACATCACTTTATTACAGTAGCCAGGATGTTACCTCAATTGATTATAACAGCGTAATATAACAATATTATCAGAGTTACAGAGAAAACAAAGATTAATTTAATGACATGATGGAGCATTAATGTAGTGGACATTTATATACAAGAGATGCTAGCAGATTTTACATCTTTTCTTATAAAAAACTTTAATGAGAATTATAAATAAATACTACGATCGTAGCGTGAAAGGAATAATCTCTGAGCCCACCAGGAGGTTTCCACACACAAGAGTCGGCTCTACGTATCCTCCGGTCACCTGCAACAGGGGGGATAAAACCCTGAGTACTCGATTGTACTCAGTAAGATTTACCCGACAGGAGGAGAAAAAAAGACTCCAAGGATATGCAAGTCTATCTGGCTTGTGAGTTATTGCATCTGCAGAAAGCATTACTAAACGTGCGTCCTTATAGTCAATTTTATTAACAGTCATCATTAGTTCATTAACTAACCATTCTATATAAGCACATATGCTACTTTCAAGTAGGTGGTGAGCAATTAGAACCATTTTATCATCTTTCATATTTCAGTTCTTACTACGGTACTAGACTGTAGCTAAGTCGGTATCGTCTCACATAAATGGCGATTCACGAATCAATGTATCCCAGCTGGGTACCTCGAAACACACGCCCCGTTTGTACCCCAGCACAAACAAGACCAACCAATTCCACTCCTATCAAAGGGGTCCAGGTCCCTATCCAAACTTGAACTCCAAGCCTCCACACTTGAGACTCGGGCTCAGTATGGTGCTTAGACCTCACATTTTTCCCGCCTCCAATCAGTCGGTCCGAAAAGAGCCGGAACCCACGACAAGAGTGTAACGAGCCTTCCCGCTCCCATAAGCAAGTATGTGCTCAGGATAATAAGTCTGTGACCTAACTACCATCCACAGCAGCGGACAGTCCTCAATCGACACAGGCGGAATCAATGCAATCCGAGCCTCGCTCGGTTGTCTAACCAGTCCAAATCCAAAGCACAGTCCCGCCCAGTCTCTAATTATCCTCTATATATATATTCCATGTGATAGTAATATAATAACAACAATACTATCTTTCCTATCTCTCGCGAGTGACAGGTAATCACTCGACTTCTACCGTATCCTATAGCATAGCAATCTACACGATCCTGACATGCTAGTAGGACTCATAGGATAAGAGTATATATATATATATATGTGTGTGGTTTCATTCAACTCCTTAAAACTTAATGCACACGCATAAAATAAAGTGCAGAATAATAGGGGTTATGCACCGGGCTTGCCTGGGTAAGATATAACAAAAATTAGCATTCCATCATAGTGACACGATCATCAAGGCACCATCTTTTCCGCTACTTCAGTCGACTCCATGATCCATCGTTGTTTCTATTATGATATACGTGGATGCAACGCAGAGACGCATTAATCAACGGTAACCGCAACTCTTAAA